ACTGAAATAATACCATATTGTTTTACACACTTAATGTGATGCACTTATTTAAAAATTTGCCAACTCGGCATTAAAAATAGTGGGAAAAGTTAATTATACTCATTTTTAGTATAATGGTTTGTAAAAAAGAGATACACAATACACATTCTAGTTTCATATCTAAAGTGAAGTTTTTACTCAGTGTCGCTAGAAACTGTCTGAAGGCAATGTAGATATGTATAATGCCCTCACACCTTCTTCTCAAGCATTGTGTTTTAAGTTCTCCAAAAAAAATACAGATCGAATCAGTAGTTTCAATGAATGCCTTTCACGTGCACCGAAGTAGATTGTTGTCGCATACGAACTTACATCCATCAATAATTTAACATAATCAAATTACTGACTAAGACCACCTGTACAATAATAATTTGTCTGTTAGTGATTTATTTTAAAACCAAATATTTTATTTATCTGAGTCCTATTGGGGCGCGTGCTACTGATAAGATTTATCAGTAGTATATAAGGAGATGTTCATCGGCATAAAAATATCAAATAGTAAGGAGATACATTTGATGTCAGAGAAGGCAAATGATTCAGTGTAGTGCAGATACATGAGAGACGTAAAAGGAACACAAAGAAACACAATGCGATGGAAGGCGAGAAGTTGCACAACACGGGAGATCTGTGCGAATGGTGCGTTGAAGATAAGGTGTACAAAATTAGGCTATATAGAGATACCAACTTGTAGATAAACAATCCTTTGCCAAGTTTTTCATCTTCTAATGTTTCACTATAATATAGTCACCCATTTTCCATTTTGTCTACGTACACCTACACATCCACAAACACTGAATATGCAGGTTATTTAAAAACATTCATGTGTTATGTTTATCATAGCCGACTTACTTATAACCTTCAATTCTGATCGTGTTTACAACAGTGGTATCATTTATAATTGTAAACCAGGTCAGAAGTTAAGCAAAATACAGATTACCGAATAAAGAATATTATTTGAGATGATAAATTTGTGTATATCAACCAGATAAAGTTTATTTTAACGAGGAATCAAATAACCGCCAAATAATTTGTTTTCAGATTAACAGTGTTTAAAGTTCAAATTCATTTGGAATTCAGTTCAAAGTAAATAAAAAATAATAATAATAAAACGATAAAACCGTGATAATGAACATAGGTAAGATTGAAAGGCTACACTGAAGGTTAAAACAACAATAAAGATCAGTAAAGTAAAGTGGAGTGGGAGGGGGAGATAATAGAATTTACCAAATAAAGTTTAGTGCAATGACAAACTGTTTTTGAACACCTAAAAGTACTTTAAAATTTCGAATTAATCAGGCTTCCATAGAGAAATGTTGGCATACGACTGTAAGCCTTATAGACGGGTTTTAAAGTTGCATAGACATCCATTATATGACCTACTTCAATGGTGTGGTTTCTGACTGTGGAGGTTAGACGTACATTTCAAGTTATTAAAGCTACTTATGAATATATATATATATATATGTTATTCCCTTGGGTTTCCCGTGGAACGTAGGGCTTCAACAGTACATCCCGGTCTTGTCCTGTTCTCTGCAGTTCTCCTGAACTGACCCCACCATTGCCCATTAGCTCTCACCTCCTCCCCGCACGGTCTCCTTCATATCACCCTTGGATGCCCTGCTCGTTGTTCCCCATTCCAGTCCCACTCGACGGCTTGGCGTGCGATGTCGTTCGATTGCTTCTTCCATTTTCTTCGACATATATATTGACCAGTGGATTCTTTGTTGGTTCTTTGTCGGAGTTTCCCTTTACTGATTCTTCCCGGAACGAAGACAACTATTGATAAATGTCTGCAGCCTGCTGAAAATGTTTTTTTGCAACGCGCCAAGTTTCTAATCCATATAGACGAACTGACTTAACATTTGAGTTGCAGATCTGATTTTCGTTCTTTTTGCTAAGTGCAAAAGATTTCCAAACTGATTTCAGAAGGATTAAAGTCTGTCTTGCTTTTTCTGTCCTGCCTTTGCCATCCTCATCGGCGCCGCGTGTATTTGTAACGATGCCACCTAGATAAGTGAATGAAGTAACCTATTTCAATTTTCTCCCGTCAGTAGTGATTGATGTTTATTGTTGTTGCTAGTTGGTTATCTTCATCATCTCTGTCTTCTTGATGCTCACTTTTAATTCAGTCTTTGTTGCCTACTTCCTCTTTTCAGTTTGTTGGTTGTCCGATGTAGGTCTTCGAGTTTATGTGACATTAGACATAAATCACCTGAGAATTTCTAGATCTTCTAGAGTCTTCCTACTGGTTCAACCTATTCCTGTCTTCTCGCTCTCAATAATCTGCACATGATCTAGTCTACCACAATTAGGAATATCATTGGTGATAGCAGTCAGCCTTGTCTTACTCCTGCCTCGACTTCAAAGGCTTCTATGAGTTTTCTACTGTGTATCACTTGACATATGATATCCTTGTATAGCTGTTAAATGAGGTTGATAAAGATTTAGAGCACTTCGTAGCGTTGAAGTAGTTTCCTAAATACTTCACAGCCGACGTTGTAGAAGGCATTCCCAAAGTCGATACATGCACAGAATTGAACATATACATACATCGTAGAAGTGCGAAATCAAAAGGCTTTGCGTATGTGATGCTTAGTAATCAGTCGATTGCAAAGCAAGTCAAGGTACTGACAAAGATTGTATGTCTTTTATGTGTATGTCTGTTTCTGGGCTAACCGAAAATTTGTATTCACTTAGGTTCTGTTCTTTCACTATTAAAAATAAAATATTCGTTGTAATATGATCATACTGTTAGTTACATGCTTTTGCTGTTAAAAATAAACACCCATTTAGTCATTTAAACAAGCATGTGATACGAGTTAAGTGTCAATCAAGTAGTTAAAATTAATTTTGATAAAATTGGAAGCATTTAATGTTATTTCACTGTGTTAGATCTCATGAATAATAGTTTTTTGTATACAGAATGCATCAGCAATTAATAAACTACAAGCTTATGTTATCTCTATAATTTCCATGTAGAAACAGCACATGTATACATGTGTGTATTTAGGTGGTAACTTACTTGACAAGGAGAGTCTTAAGATGACTAAACTGTTGAATCGTATTTTTACTGTACAGTTTTTTTTGTACATGAACATAGTGGATTGTTGAATCAGTCTAGTAATAAGTGTTTTCCTCACATGGATTTCTATTGATTATTTGCTTAGTGAGATTAAATTTGAGCTAAAAGCTGTAAATTAGCTACATGAACATATGACACCGTTGGAGTTATTGCTTTTTATTATTATTAGTATAAGTTGATTGTGCAAGCGAAGTAAATGCTATCTGATCGATATGACTGATAAAATTAAACATGTTGGCTATCTTTTAGACGCCATTATAAAGTGTTTTTTTTTAATTTTTGCTTAATTTTCATAAGTTTGGCTTTTGTCGTTACTGGTATATTTCATGCCTTTGTAATATTTGAATTCCTCTAACTTGTATAATAATTTTCATCCTTTTATGCAGTTACCATTCCAAAATCGTCTTTTGGTAGTGACAGCGAACAATCGCTGTATTCCTCGATATTAACGTTGCCTTAGATTAGTAGGACAGAGCTTCCCTTTGAGCTTTCTGTTAAAGAGAGGTGTTCCCGAGAAGTTTGTTAGCATCTTGAAAGCTCTACACAAAACCACTGGTGAAGTAAGGGTGTACAATCAGCTATCATTACTGTTCTGCGACAATAGTGAGTTCACACTGGGTTGCCTAGACTCACCATTTCTCTATTATCTTGCTATCGATAACGTTCTAGAGACATTTCTGATGACTGACTGTGGTAGTTATGTAGATTTTTTGTCTACAGAAAGGCCTTCAACCTGAAGCATACAAATAATATAGTCTTCCTAAGCAATAACATACAGGCTGCCCAAATCCCACTTAATCAATTGATGCGCTTTGTGCTGTCCAAGTGGAAGTGTTGTTGTATGAATGGCAAAACTGTTTACCTGCACTCACCTTTTGACGTGAATCGTTAAAAGTAGTTGATAAGTTCGCGTATCTAGGCAGTTGCATGAGTCCTGGAAGAGGTGCGACTGTTGAGATCTCTCACTGTATAGTGGAATTCAGAGCGACATACGCCAACCAGGAACACCTCCATCGTCGTCGTAGTGTTAGCCTGACTATCAGTGGTGATTTTTACAGTGCTTCTGTACACACAGTCTTCTTCTACGTCCGTGAAACCTGGCTTCTCCAATCTGGAGACATGCGGTGACTCTGTCTGTTCGATCATCTCTGCCTTCGCAGAGTTGCTTACATCTGGTGGTATTATCATGTTGGTTATTTTGAGGTCCGGCGACGTGTGTTTAGGCACAGTGGCGATCGTCTCATTAATTGTTATGTTTGAATGCCAGCTTCGGTGGTTTGTACATGTGCTGCGAATGCCACCCCCGAATCTTCTATGTCGTTTACTGTTTCTTGGTTCTTGGACTGTGTGAGAAAGGCGGAGAGAAGTGGTCTGCGATGAAGAATATTTTTGTGAGGTTAGCTTCTCTTGAGGCATCACGATCCACTCGGTAGAGTTCGACAATTAGTGGCTCCAGACCTAATCAGATATGGCTGAGAATCTTAATGAATGGTGAACAGACTGCAGTTAACTCCCTACTTTCCTTCCTCATAGTAACATGATCAAATGAGCCATTATCTGAATGCTCTTGATAAGTGCGCTTCCTTGCTTTCTGGACTTTGTCCTTCATTTGCCCTATTTCTAATTTCCTTATATTGTTGTTTTATTATTTATGTGTGACATATCTTTTGGTGGTCATATTGAACGAAGCTTGTGCTTAAACACATAAACAGATTATCACTGACACTGCATTTGTCTAGTGTTTATTGCTAGAATACTGGTTTTCTTTTGGAATCTTAGGAATATCTCCATAATCCTTGAATTTTCATTTTTTTTAAATAGTTGCCGTTGACCTAACCTACTTTACACTTTCTATTTTTCCTACTTTCATGTCGGTTATTAGACCCGATCACTGGACTAATTGCTCGTCTGATGTATGATGGAGATAATATTAGAAAATGGAAACCGGTTGACAGAGTAAGTCTTTCCCATCTTTTTTTATTTAAGTCGATATTGAATGATATCAGTATTTTTCTTGTCTTATTATAAGTAAAAGGTGATGATGGGACTCGAACCAACGGCTTCAAACATTTCTGTTTTTTATCCATGTATCTTGCACTATGAGAGTTACCTTGGTATCTCTTTTAAACAATTCTTAGTCTTAAAGCAATTAGGTTGCCCTGAACGCATGAATTCAACTAAAAGGAAGAGTTCTATTATACGTTGTATTATAATGTAGTATCACACAAAAATTAATTTTATCTGAAGCTAATAGAACAGGCGACAGAATTTTAAAATATACTACCATATATTATGACTAGGAAACTTATACAAGGGAATGAATATAACTCAGCTATCACACTTGTTTTTGTGGTATTATTTCTTGCAATTATCTTATAAATCATATCATTTACTGCTATGATTGATAGCTTTTTTCTAAGAACTAGTAGGAATTAATCATTTATTACACGAAAAAAGTTATTCCTTTTTATCTCTGACATTCACTAGTATTTTAAATTGCTTAATTAACCAACAAATTTGTGAACAAGCATAATTCATCACCGTCAATGAGAAAAAGGTCAATTCTCATTAGAGAAGTACTTCCTTTGATTGGACACTAGTAACTAGTGTAATGTGTCTAGTCCTTACTTTGGTGCAGACTGAATTCTGTCAGTCAGATTTTGCAATGTGGCCTGCATTCTAGGTGGCTCGCCATCACGGTGCACATTGATTTGATGATATAAGATGGTTGGAGGCAATCCACAGGAAGCCTTGCACCTAGGTTTCGTTCTAGTTGGCACTCATCAGTCAGCACGGAGTATCTGCAACCTTGAAGTAACTCATGTCCCTGCTGAGGTTCGAATCCGCGTCACCCAGCGCTGCAGTCAGAGGTGTTACCACTGAGCTACACCTACTCACGACTGACTTCCTTTAGGACTGTATTGGATACTTTTGATTGGACACTAGTTAGTAACTGGTGTAATGTGTCAACTATTCAAAGTGCACCATGATGGCGAGCCACCTAGAATGGTAGCCACATTGCCAAACCTGACTGAAAGAATTCAGCCTGCACCAAATAAAGGACTAGACACATCACACCAGCTAATAGTGTTCAATCAAAGTACCCAATACAGTCCTACAGGAGTTGAATCGTGAGCAGGTGTAGCTTGGTGGTGCCACCGGTGACTGCAGTACTGAGTGACGCGGTTTCGAATCTCACAAGGGACATGAGTTTCTTCAAGGTTGCAGATACGCCGTGCTGACTGGTGAGTGCCAACTAGAACGAAACCTAGGTGCAAGACTTCTTGCGGATTGCCTCCAACCATCTAATATCATCAAAGAAGTACTTCCACTATCCAGTCGTGAAACGCAGACTACAAAAATCAAAGTGGGACAAATTAGTTGGCAAAAAACTGTGTAATGCTGGTTTGGACGCTTAATCCATGGATTTTTCTTACTCTCCTGTAATTAAGTAATATCCACATGGCTTAATACGCATAAAGTTTATATAGTTATAGACGATTTTCAGCATCCCTTTAACCAACCTGTCAGTTTAATGACTCCTTTAACAGGTATGTTGGTATAGTCGTACACTATGTATTCTAGTCTTTTTTGTGATTGAGTAGCTGGGACTGACATCCATACTCTCTTTGTAATATTGTGATTAAGTTTGTGACATTTTTGTTAAGGAATATCAGTCTCTAGTTGAAAGATTGAAAGATGAAGCTGTTAAGGCCGTACATCAAGGTGATATGACTATGGACAATAAAATGTGCTCGAAAGGTTGTCAGTATATAAATAATGCTGTATCACTGTATGTTATTATATCCAATAAAATTATTACTTTCAGAATAAACAGTCTGAGTCTAATTCATTCAGCTGATATCATTTAAAATGAAGTAAAATTTTCGAGCTTCACATGCTAATCGGTCACTTCATGTGATTGCTGAACATCAGGCCTGTGCTAATCTATCAACAGTCGACAAACAGTTAGTGTGCTAAAAGAACGTGAACTAACTGCTTAAAAGTTATTCTGTCCTTTCAACCTATTCACTTGATGACATTTGCGTTAAGTGATATATATATATCATCAGTTTATTCGTCAAAGCTATTAGACTGAGATTTGACATTATGACACATACAGTTCTCTCCGTAAATCATTTTTTCCGATTTTATTATTAAAATAAAATACAAATAGAACGATAATTTTGCACACCCTTGATCTGAGATCTCACAACTGTGCAATTGTGTCGTTAGTTTACTATGTAGAACACTTATATTGGATTTTCGTTAGACTTCAGAATTGGCAACGGTAATCCTTTAGCTTACCGCTACTAAAATTAGTCTAAAGGTTGTTTTAGAGACTGTTTTTTTTTTAATGCGAATATTGATGATATCTACTGATGTGTACAAAAAAATTGTAGTCATATCAATGCCTAAATAAAAGTTATTCTTATGCTTTAAATAAGTATAATCAAATTGGTTTTTCGTGATTGGCAGTTTTTTTTTCGGTGAAAATATTTTCCTTATAATAGTAGTCGAAGAAACTACAATTTTTTCATACTAAGACTATGAAAATGATGCTTCTTGTTATTTGGTGGTGAGATTTTTGATGCACAATATTCAACTTTTTTTAATTTAGTTTTTTTTTGTTCTATTCAGCTGATGATTCATTCACACTTCGAGTATTTGATGAACATTCTTTTGTTTTAACACTACACTTGTATTGCACAATCATCGTATGAACACTGAATGTTCTTTAAGTTTCAGGAAATTACGCAGTTCGACTGATTAATTGAATTCAGGTTGGATTGCATGATAAGGTGAAACGTGTTAGAAAACGATAGAAAACCAGTGGGAGCACTAAACATTTGTTTCTTTCTAGTTTGCGATTCTTCAGCGAAATTCACTCATAATCCCACAGGGTATCGAACTCACGGCGTTCAGCTAGTGAGACGAGAACGCTACCCTAAACATACTGAAATGGAATCCGATAGCCTGAAAATTCGAACTTCTATCAGTTCACGCTACTAATAATTATTAAATTAACTATTATTACTATTGTGTAATTGTTCTTTATGCTGGCTGAGTGAGTGCAGAAGATTTCCAAACCCATTTCGGGTTGATGAAGGCATATCTCTTCTTCCTGATTCTGACTGGCTTTGACATCTTCATCCGTTCTGCCAGTTGTGGTTGAAACGATACTTCCTAGATAAGTGAAGGAAGTGACCTCTGTCAAATCTCTCCCGTTGATGGTGATTGGTGCTGGTTGTTGTTGTTGTTGCTGCTGCAGCTGCTGCTGCTGGTTGGTTATCTTCGTCACCTCTGTCTTCTCTGTATCCCCTTGGTATGCTGTCTTCGCTGCTAGCCTCCTCAGCCAGTTTGTTAATTTCCTCCAGGAAGTCTTCGAGTTTGTGTGACATTAAACATAAGTCATCTGAGAAGTCCAGACCTTCTAGAGTCCTTTTACCGGTCAGTGCAGCGTATCCCTGTCTTCTCACTTCCCAAGTACGGTGTTCCGCATAATCCAGTCTACCACAATTAAGAATATCATCGGTGATGGCAGATAGGCAGTCAGTTTGTCGTACTCCTGTATTCGCTTCAACAGAAGCACTCGCCGAGTCGGTGTTCCGTTGTGGATCACCTGCCACGTTGCATTGTCTTATAACCAGCTGTTGAATGAGGTTGATAAAGACCTGGAGCACTTCATACCGTAGTGTTGAAGCAGTTTCCTAATTACTTCACGATCAACGCTGTCTGTCTAAGGCCTTCTCAAAGTCGATGGAGTTAAGGTAGATGTTTGACTGCCATTCTATGTTTTGTTCTGTGGTGAGGATGCGTAGAGTAGCAATCTGATCAGCACATTATGATTTACGTTTTCTTAATCCAGCTTGTTCCGGCTGGTGGTGTTCTGCTTTCAGTGCATCATTGACCCTCTCCAGGAAGATGAGTCTTAGTATTTTACTTGGCGTGGACAAGAGCATTATTCCACGCCAGTTCTTGCAGAGTCAGGCGTAAGTCGCCCTTCTTTGGCAGTGATGCTTCCGAGATAAGTGAAGGAAGTGACCTCTGTCAGATCTCTCCCACTGACGGTGACTGGTGCTGGTTGTAGTTGTTGTTGCTGCTGCTATTGGTTGGTTATCTTCATCACCTCCGTCTTCTCTGTGTCCACCTGGTGTCCTGTCTTCACTGCCATTCTTTCCAGCCAGTTTGTTGGTTTCCACCTGTTAGTCTTCGAGTCTGATTAAATTAACTAACTGATGAGAATGTGGCGGTTTATAGTATACCGATTTGTATACTTCTACGCTAATTTGTAAAGATCCAAGATGAAAATATAAGATTTATTGAATTCAAAATCACTTTGAATCTTCTATATCAGTTCATATTTCAACGCCTGATATGTTTTTCACCCTACCAATTCTTTTACACTATAACGTTTTATGACTACTGTTTTTATACACATTCAGCTATTGCTTCTAGTGCTGTTCTCGACATCCCAATATAAACTAAAACATGAGTTACTTGTAGTCAGTAAAGTCAGTCCCACTGTTGTTCCCTCTGTCCATTCATTACCTTTTCTCAGTAATACTTTCAAAGAACGAAATATCTTTCTAACTCATGGGGATGAGGTTGTTACTATTATTTGATTATACATGTGACCCATTGTCTTTTTAATAGATAATTGATGATTTCCAGTCCAGCTGTAAACATTATAAGTCACTGGGAAATAAATTCACTTATTCAAAGGGCCGCAGACAAATAAAATACCCCTCTCACAGATTTTTACTGTCGACTGGCGTCCACCCAAATTACCATAGTTATTATCTCTATCACATATCTAACCCTTATAGTTTCTAAACAAACCTTTTGACCCTTTTTTTAAATAAAAACTTTCGGAAATTATTCACACATTTCTTTTAGCTATAAGTATGGCATACAATAAACATCAGATATACGTGAAACGTTTAACTTGTTCGCATTAATTATTTTAAGCAACCTTATGTTATAATGTAAGGGCATTTTATTCAAGAAATGAAGTCGGTCAAGGTCAAATTAATTCATTACACTAATAAGCTAATGCAAGGACAGTAAGGTCATACCGGAAAGAGAACATGATTATACACTGATGTAGATATTAAGAAGGAAGGCAGTAATGATTACTGAACAGATACTGCATAGTTGTAGCTTCAATATATTTAAACGCATACAGTTGGTAACTTCTTCAAAAATTTGTTTGTGTGAGACATATCTATTCTACATGTCCTACTATGCTAACTAGCATACTTAAGCATATTCCATCATGAAAATAGCTTAATGTGATAAATAGCAATATAATGAACAGTCATGTGAAGAGGAAATAGAAGCATGTGGGCAGACGTGCAGCCAGGTGAAAACGTTGATGGAGAACCGAACGCAATGGAGACGTGAGGCTGAAGCCCTATATTCCTCTAGGAACTAAAGGAAGCAATAATAATAATGAACGGGTTGAATGAGCCTATAGAACAGTGATGAAACAACAACAGGGATGGAGGGAGAACGGAGAGCAATTTAGGCAAAAAGATATAACAAAACATAATAAAAGAAACAACAAGTATTGAAGGCTTCTCCGAGGAAGTTACCACACATACTGCATTATTCTGTTTATCAGAAGCACATGCCATAGTAGGGTGGGGATAAAAGTAATTGCAAGGCGTTTTCGTGTAGAGTATAGCAAATAGCACAATGCATATTTTAGCTGTGTGAAACGTCGATAAAACACCTGTGAAACAACCGGACTTAACATCTGAAATGATTACAGTATTCCTTTAAACACATAGTACAAAACCACATAGGACTGTTCACAAACCAACTGCCTGAGGGGGAATTCAAATTGTAATTGGCTGCGCCTTGTTCTATCCTGTCAAGGCGGTGGAAATGAAAGGGAGATAAATTTGTTTAAGCAGTTGCTTATATACTCACCCACAATGGTAACATACGCCATTTATTTTGCTTTGTCAATGATGTTTTCACTACTCAATTCAAATTTTTGTTTATAATCATAGAAATAATAATTTTATTGTAATTACTCACTTGGGTCTTCACTACATTTTAACACAATCATTAAAAAAGCTATAACTTATTGTGGTTTAAAATTAAAACAATGTATTCTTTTTGGTGAATAATGTTGTTTGGTCACACTTCACAATGATTTGATTCGAACGTTACTTTCGCTACTGCAGTTTCAGTCTTTATATTATTCAACTTTTATATTCTTGTAGGGTTATGAATATCATGTTGCAAGTGGGACTGCAGAATGGATAACAGCTTTGTCATTTATGTGCTTTGTTTTATCTCTAGCATGGGAGTTGAAGGACTGCAAACTACACACTGTTAAGGTAAGGTAGTCTTCATTTTCTGAAGATCTGTTTCTTCAATTTTTCCAAAAAAGTCAGTTATCCGACTGTTTCTTATGAAGCCAATTATGCATGTACTGAGGTAATTGTGTTCAATGAGCTGGATGGTTTATTCGAGAAGCTTTCATTGCCCTACTAGGCAACACCTTCAGCGCACACTTCAATTCTCCACGAGTGTATAAGTTATCTTTCCTGGTGCCCTTGAAAGTGATTGGTTGTTTTTGTGTGGTTTCACATCTTCTAGGCTACTTGTATTGGTATCAATATCAGTACTGCATAACCGCATTTATACTTACGTGTAAATTACCCGTTAATTGCAGAACATTCTTCTTTCTTTCAATATACAATGTCCCTATTTTGGTTTCATTTGTGTTCACGGCATGTAATTCTACTCTTATAAAAATGAATTAGTTATTATTCAGTCAAAGCATGACTAAATTGTTACACTGATCTTTATGTATGTTATTAATCAAGGTGTGTGTGGTCGACAAAAATCTTATGAAATAAAATAAACTCACGTCATCTTAACTTAAATATTGCTAAAAGGAAGTTACTTTTACTGCAGGTAGTTTGAAAAACCTTATAGACATACATATCTTTCTTTTTTATAAACTGCATTCATAAGCTTTGTTTTAATATATTACTGCACATACTAAATGACTCATATACTGATATAACACTGATGAAAAGAGTAAGTCTGCGTGTTTGCATATTGACTAGTCGAAATGAAAACAACTTTAACAAGTTAGTCATGATTACAAAATGAACTCGTGGTTTTTTATTGATTGAGTTGTAATAACACTTTGAAAATTAATCATAAATTGGAGGGTTGGTTGTGACTGGGGGCAAACATTTTGTGAGGCAGCTGTCTCATCGATTGTTATCTCCATGTGTATAGATGAAACAGAAGTCTAATGAATGGTTTAAAACTACGAATATCAGTTAGTAGTAAATGTCACTGTACCCCGTGAACATCTCCGTCCCAGTTTTGTTCGAATATAATTTGATTGTTATTACTGTGGGTGTACAATCACCTTTATAAACCTAAATTTCGACAAAATCTGAGGTTACATAGGGAATCGGGCTGAACACTTCAAAAGACTTCTAAATCGACAACGCGCCCAACAATACCAACAACGGAGACAGAGAAAAAATCAGAAGTCCTGAAGGCAATCAAGATGCTAAAAGCTGGTAAAGCAGCAGGACCAGATGGAATCCCAGCAGAGGCATTGAAAATAGACCCAGAGACAACAGCGGACTTGATGACGCCACTACTGGAAAAGGTGTGGAAAGAAGGCAAAGTACCCGAGGATTGGAAGAAAGGATACTTATTCAAACTACCAAAGGAAGGAGACCTGAGTCAATGCAAGAACTGGCGCAGAATTATGCTCCTGTCCATCCCAAGCAAAATATTAAGCCGCATCATCCTGGAGAGAATCAAAAACATGCCCTGGATGAAAAACTTTGACCGGAACAGGCTGGATTCAGGAGAAACAAGTCATGCATTGATCAGATCGCCACAATACGGATCATCATTGAACAAAGCTTGGAATGGCTATCACCTCTCTATCTCAACTCCGTCGACTTTGAAAAGGCCTTCGACAGCGTCGATCGAGAGGTGATTTGGCAACTACTTCGCTACTACGGGGTGCCACCGACAATTATACATCTCATCCAACAGCTGTACGACAATGCTGCATGCCAAGTAATCCACAACGGGAAACTTACGGAATCCTTCGAAGTGAGGGCAGGAGTAAGACAAGGCTGCCTACTATCGCTAATGATTTTCCTGATTGCAGTAGATTGGATAATGCGGCAAACAGTGGGCAATGAGGAAACAGGCATAAAATGGACTCATGCAAAAAACTTGGAGGATCTAGACTTCCTCGATGATATATCTCTGATTTCCCACAAACTGGAAGATATGCAGTCGAAAAGCAACAAGTTGGCAGAAGAAACATCCAGAGAAGATAGGACTTCAAGTGAACATAGAGAAAACGGAGGTGATGAAGATTCCTGGGCAACACCACCAACAGCAACAACAACAGACGACACTCAGCATAAATGGAAGGAACCTGGAAGAAACAACCTCTTTTACCTACCTGGGAAGCATCGTTTCAACTACAGGCAGACCGAACTGACGAGGATATCAAAGCAAGAATCGGAAAAGAAAGACAAGCTTTCACTACTCTCAAGTCTGTGTGGAGGTCAACAGCACTCAGCATCAAAAATAACATCCGAATTTTCAACTCCAATGTGAAGTTAGTGCAACTCGCTATACGGATCAGAGACTTGCACTTCGCTCAATACTGAAGATCAGATGGCCAGCCAGAAAAGATCAGCAACAGGGAGGGATCTCTGGGAGCGAACCAGCACAGCAGGAACCGATTGTGAAACAAATAGGCAGGAAGAAATGGAGATGGATTGGCTGTCCATACTCTGAGGAAGCCATCAAGTGACATCACTAGACAAGCCATTGCTCGATTGGAACCCGAATGGGAAGCGGCGAGTCGGTCGTCAGTGCAAGGGTGACTTGGAGGAGGTCATGTGAAGAGGAGATGAAAGCGTGTGGGCAGACTTGGAGCCAGGTGAAGACTCTAGCAGAGAACCGAACGCAATGGAGACGCACGGCTGAAGCCCTATGTTCCTCTAGTAATTAAAGGAAACAATAATAATACATAGGGAATCAGCGGATGCTAATAAGAAAGTATATATCTGTTTTCTTGAATTCTGAAATTTCTTAACTACGTCTATTAGAATCCCCATAGAGAATCAAGTCGAAAGTGTAACGACGGCTGAAATAACTTACACAAAACTTTGTAGCATATTTTGAACAAAGTTTCGGTCGAAGCCTAGATATAACTAGTCTACAAGATGTTGCCATTATGGTAAGAAACTATTCTCTTCTTACATCTCAATAACCAATTTGGTGAATATTCATCAGCATATTTAGGAAATAAGTGGAAATTGGTTCGCAAAATAATTAAACTTGTCAACACACACACATACTGACGCCATCTCATGCCTGATGTGTATTCACGATCCAAAATGACAATAGTAATTAAGTACGGAGAAACTAGAAGAAAAGAATAAATTACTCAGTGTGTTTGTTTGAAGGATATTTGAATAGTATGTTAATTATAAAACCACTAGGGAATTCATGGTCATTTTAATGCCAAGCAGTAGTAATAATAATGAATTCAAATAACCAATATGGAAAAGTGAGTGAATAGTGCTGAAAAATGTCCATTATTATAAAATACAGTTTTGCGGCGTAATTCACGACTACCATATTGTTATTATTCTGTGACACAAGCTTTTCGGCTTCCCGATTACATAGGCTTTTAGAATTCACCTGCTCAAGTACAACGCCGTACGTGGTTGCCATAACTGCAGTAGTACCAGCGTATACTTTTAGGTGTATAATAATTTGTATTAGATCTGAGTTTGAAATGTTTACTGACTAATGTGACGGATAGTTTCTCTAACCTCAGTGTTATTATCCACCGTGTATATTTAGCATTCTAGAACCACCATATGTTCATCTAAGTGTCGACTCATCGCATATGTAATCTTCGGTGACGTTTCCTCATAACTTATGTTAGCAAACCAGGCTAGCTTTCTCATGTCTTCCTTTCAGTTGTGAACCCATCAGTAGCCTTTCATTTTATATATATATATATATATATATATAATAATATTCCTGCCTTGTTAAGATATCCGACGTTCCTTCCTTGTATGGAATTACTACTGATGATTTAGATTCCTTATTGTTGGTGTTTTCTTGTGCATATTTGACATGCATGTCGTCATTAATATTATTATTATTATCACTATCACTACTATCATTATTTATTTTATTTTTACATTTCCCTACATATTTCCTGACTAATTTATCAGGGTAATTATTAAGTTCAAAGACTTCTCTTATATGTAGCAGAATTCTTAACAAGGCAGGAATAAAAGTGGTTCGCATTCAAACCCACAAACTCAATTAGAAACAAGCTTTGTCGGTTAAAGGATCCTGTGGAGCCTTTAAAACAAAACAATTTAGTTTATCTAATAACCTGCTGCAATGATTGTCAGGTCAAATACATAGGTCAAACTAGTAGAACAGGGGCAGTCAGACTAGCCGAACATAAAAACCCAGCAAAATCTAGATTGGTTGACCCGAATAAGATAAGAAATCTACAGAATAGTTCAGCTGTACCACTCACTACATGCAGTTACACACAACCATACAATAGGACGGGATAGGATGACAGTTTTAAAATCTAATGTCACAGGGTGGAGGGAGAGATTGATAACAGAAGCTTTGTTTATCACATCAACTGCAAACACGTGTAATAGGAATGATTCAACACCTATCCGAGATATCTGGAAAATTCTACTACCCCAATGACGACAAATAGGAGAAAACAAAGAAAACTATAAAACTCAAGTTTCGTAGTCATGCGATTATAATTGATGTGATTATGAACAATAAATTTTGTTCGAAACCTTGTCATCCAGTAAATAATACTGTTTCACTGTGTGATACATCTAATAAACAAACTAATATAGAATTACTTAGTACCACATTACCCAAGTTTTACACATATATTAATTTGACTGCTAACACTGTTGATGTAAAGTATTTCCTGAACTATGCTGACTCGAAGGACGCTTCTATATCATTTGTATGAATCCTAAAATTCATCTGTGCTGTGCTGCTTTGTGACTGATTTATTTCCATATTAAAAATCATTGCATAGCTGGTGATTGACTGAGATTGATGGAGAATCATTTGATCAGTAAGGGACTAGTTGTGTTTTTGATTTGTTACACCAAACCAGCCTTGCTAAACACAATGTGCTGAGGTACCCACATTATCAGGACTTTATCTAATCTGCAAGTACCCATGATGAACACGAAACAAAGGGCTCAGTCATTCGGAAATATACTCCGACGAGCAGTATTATCATAATATGATTATTATTTCCTTGGATCCTTAGTGGAAAACAGAGCTTCAGCTGCTCATTTCTGTTTCACTCTGTTCTCTGCAGTCTCTTTTAACAAGCTCAACTATTGTCCGTAAGCTTTCGTCTGCTCTTCACGTAGACTCTTCTATGTCACCCATGGAAGTCCAAACAGTGGTTTCTCATTCGAATCCCACTCCAGGGTGTGGTGCGTGATGTCACTCAACGGTCTTATTGGTATGTCCCCGATCCAGCAGCATTTGTTGGGCGATAAGTTCTTGTTTTTTTTGTCAGAATTCCTTTTCGCTTATTCATTCTCGCTAGTATTCTGATCTTCAGTAAGGAGCGAAGACATCTTCTAATGAAAATCTGCAGCCTGTTACAACTGCTTTTCGTAACGCTTCGATTAGCAATATATCTAGACAGAACAAGTACGGGAACGTATCAAACTAGCGTAACAGGACTACGGATTCTGATGAAGGGGAGCATAAAATGCCTTCTGAGTCTGTTTGAATGTTTGTCCGTCACAATAAAGCCTAAAACACTTTAGGTATCAGCAGGCGGGTTGGAAGTTTATCCAGTAAATTCAATTTGATCCGCATATCTTAGCCCTAGGTGTATTTGTATGTACTACAATTTACACCTACAAGTAGCTTTCTACAAAGATTAATTTAGGAATTAAGGAAAATTGGACAACATTTCCAGCTTCAGTTGTCAGGTGTTCTATATTTGATTTTAAAAAGTGATAAAAAGTTCTTTTAAGCCCACAATTTGTGTTAAATTACTACAATAAATCGTGAATCTTTTACTGAAACAACAACAACAGTATCCCTTTTCAAGTAATGTCCAACTTTCACACTTGTTTATGTTCGAATTCGTAAATGTATTCATGCTCTAAAGATATTTTACCTAACTTATCCATGTTTTGCATGTGTGATATGTGAGCTTTACAAACGAAAAACATCTGTGTTTAATACTACTGAATATTTGTGGTTTTGTATAGATCGGTCCTCGATGGAACAATGCTCATTACGATGAGGATATTCTTTCCTAGAATCAATCAATCAAACATGAGGAAGAAAGACAGTCATCAGCTATGGCCCCAGTCACTTCTATCACATTATGAAAACTTAATCATCATGTTTTTTTTCTTTCTCCCCTATTGTCTATAATATTATTAACTGGCGTTTGATTTATCATCGTTATTTCTTCTCGCTCTTTTTTTTATTTATTCAACTCAGATAAATCACAGCACAATGAAGCAATGATTTCCAGTAATCCCATGTGTTTTTTACTTTTTCCACTTTTTTTTTTTAATTTCCTCAAGTCATTTTTTATAAGAAGTATGCTGTGTTTTTTTTATTTTGATATTCTTGTAAAACGGTTAACTCTGATTTCGAATAACACTTATCATGATACCCACTGTGACTTCAGTCGTGATTATTTTCAATTTCTTGAAATATAATCTATTTTATTTGGTTGTTTTAGAAGCGATATTATGAAATCGAGTTATCAATGTGCAATCTTTCCACCTAATCTTTATTTTTCTGCTCAACGAAATACAAATTTACTGCATATGCAACAATATTGTTTTATTTTTACGTTTATCGCAAACTGAATTATTCAATAAGCAGTAGAAATGCTTTAAAGTCTTCTGGTTACATTAATCACCGTGAATGTTTGTACTTTTCAATTCATTCTAGTAAAGTAGATTTGACAATGTTGAAGGTGTAATGGGTTTTATCACCAGTTTACGTTTAACTATCTCATTTGATTGGAAGGAACCTGAAAGAAACAACCTCCTTTACCTACCTGGGAAGCATCGTTTCAACTACAGGCAGACAGAACTGACGAGGATATCAAAGCAAGAATCGGAAAAGAAAGACAAGCTTTCACTACTCTCAAGTCTGTCTGGAGATCAACAACACTCAGCATCAAAAATAACATCCGAATTTTCAACTCCAATGTGAAGTCAGTCAGTGCTACTATACGGATCAGAGACGTACACTGCGCGTCATAAAGAGCATCTCAAACAAACTACAGACCTTCATTAACAGATGTCTTCGCTCAATACTCAAGATCAGATGGCCGGCCAGAAAAGATCAGCAACAGAGATCTCTGGCAATGAGCGAACCAACACAGCAGGAACCGATTGTGAAACAAATAGACAGGCAGAAATGGAGATGGATTGGCTGGCCATACTCTGAGGAAACCATCAAGTGACATCACTAGACAAGCCATTGCTCGAGTGGAATTCGAAAGGGAAGCGGCGAGTTGGTCGTGAGTGCAAGGGTGACTTGTAGGAGGTCATGTGAAGAGGAGATGAAAGTGTGTGGGCAGATTTGGAGCCAGGTGAAGACTCTAGCAGAGAACCGAACGCAATGGAGACGCTTGGCTGAAGCCCTATGTTCCTCTAGGAATTAAAGGAAACTATAATAATAATCTCATTTGATAGACTAATTTGTATGCTCATTATGGCAATGATAGAAACCCCTGTTGGCAATGATTCTAGCACAAGTGAGATTTGTGTGGTAAAACCAAACACTGTCAATAGTTATTCTGTCCATATTTTAACTACTCATTAGAGAGTAGATCAAGAATACTTATTCATCACAGTCACAACGTTATTAATCGTCTAATAACTCAAAAGTTCAGTAGTGTACTTTCTTCTGGATTTTACATTTATATGTGTGTAACTGAATGTGAGATTGTAATAGCTATGAGTTGAGTTCGATGGATCTGCACCCTGTAGCTTATGCAACTACTAATGAATAGATTTTAATTACCACCTTCACATTTATGTTTATTTGGTATTTTCATTAGTATTAGTGTAAGCATATATACACCAAAATGTGGTTTTAGCCGAATAGCGATTGGATTTGTAACACTGAAAATGTTTACTTTTTATTTGACTAAAATTTAAACATTTCACTCAGTTTGTTCATTTTTGATATCATCAGAAACTAAACATAAGATACAATTACCAAATATGTAAATCCGTACACAATCGAAAGTGATTGATATGTTGTGAGGAATAGGGTAAGATGCATTTTTTCACATTTTCTGGCATCATTATTCCTAGGCGTTTGGAAGAGGTTGAATGAATACTGAAGATAGGAGTAAAAATCTTAGAGTAAGAAAAGCAGTCCATTCGTTGATCTCCTGCTCTGTACGTCTCTTACATATCCGGTGGGAGAAACGTTAAATGAAAACAAGCGAGAATATCCAGTAGTGTTTATAGCGACCATCAGTCATGATCAGGGTTGATCTTGTTAGTTTATCTGCGCATAAGGGATAATAATCTGTAGTTACAGCTGTGTCAAGGAAATGTGACGTCTAATTTTGATTCAAATTAAAAAGTGTGGATAAAGCGAACTTGGCTGCGTATAAAATTTGATAAACGTATTTTTATAAGACACCATATAGTATGACTGTTTTTAGAAGAAAGTTTTGTATTGAGTCCGATAAATTCGCAGTCAGAATAAGGGGTAAGTTTTATGAATACAATGTTAACGCTATTTGCATACAATATACACCTCTGAAAAGCTACTCATCCCCTACGTATATACATATATATATATACCACGTCGTCATTCAGTCACTATCAGTGATCACTTTGTGTGAATTAAATAATTGAGGATCCAAGGAGCTGCCAGTTAAGCTTTGTAAATGGAATCCTTTGAGTAACTGAAGGTTATTCATAGACTGGACAGTTGATTTACGTACACGAACCACTTTTCAAACGCTGTTACTCAGGTCTTATATGAAATCGGAAAGGTCACCTCTTAAATGTTCCGATATATGGTTGGCAAACAAATATTTTTATGCATGATTTATAATTCTGATAATATCTAATTATGAATTAGACAATTAAAATGCATAAATAAATTGAAGGATCCTGAAAATGTTTGTCATTTGGATTTCATTCTTTGAACTGAGGAACACTTGACCCACTGGGGGAAAAGAACACCCAGGAGTTGGATATTTATATAAAAATAACGGAAATTGTTTAAATATTCAATTTAATTAAACAGTAGTTTAAACAGCCTACAAATTTAGTGTTAACCATAAAGCGATTTATCTACCGCGTACATTTATTCTTTATCCCCTGGAAAACAGATCCCCCCCAGAAGTTTGAACCTTTGCCAACCAATAATATAGTTGGAGACGCTACTATTGGTATGAGTACCAGTCTATACGCATTAAGATTTCAGTGGATGAACTGATTAGTCAGTGGCAAGTAACCAGTATCATGAGTCCAGTTCTGGCTCAGTTCTTCTTGGCAAGTCCCAACAAGCCCAAAATCTAAGTCTAGTGCATTAATTTTTGCTGAAACCACTGCTACTTGTTTCTTTCAAGTGAACAATGAGAAGACTTCCATCTTAAACTTTGGGAAAAATTGATTTCATTGACAAAAATTTAAAATATTTTATTATGACATTTAACTACTTTGAAATAATTAAGTAGCCAAAATAAATAAATGTATTTACCAGAATGTGAAGCATTCATGACATTAATTAATGAAAATGTATCATGAAACCTTAATTTGAAGGAAGCATGGTAATAATTCACGAGTTTTTCGCCACATATTATATACGAATAACCGCAAAATATAAGACAGTGTATGATTGAGATGAAATGGGCAAGAGCCTAAGGCCACCTACGTGAAAAAAAAGAACTTTGTAGACGATAACGAAATACATAAATGAAACTGAAATTTTCATGAAATCTGCAGGAATCACAGTTCTCAAAGCATAAAAGGTTAATTATCCAGCCTATAAGATTAAAATTGTACAATTACATCACTAGTTTCGATGTTGAATTACAATATCGACCTTGAACAATGGTTCGTAGTAGCAGTAGATGTATGATATTTGATGAACAAATTTAATTCGTAGCTTAGAATCTTTAGGATCTCTGATTGAGCGCATTGATATAAGCGTAGTACATTAAATAAGACTGTTTCGCTTCCTGCATGAAATCAAATATTAGACAAAGTCATTATTGTTTCTAGAGTATAATTAAAATAGCTTGGGTGTAGCGAGATAGATGGTCACGTATCAGTTGTAAGCGTTATTTCTAGTTTAAATCGAGGTTCAAAATCGTTCAAGCATCATAACTAGTTGTTTTTATCATGATTATTCTCATTATTAAACTGTGCACTTGTTGAATTTCTCTTCACAAAATTATATTAAAAACCTAAAATGGTTGGTTTAGTAGAAATATATACAAAATGACTACGTATACAGGCTCGCATACACATTTCTTTAGTTTCCAACCTATTCATTATATATCCGCCCGTTAGCTTGCGGAGAAGTTGGAACCCAATCGCCGACGTCTAGCCGTGCATACCATAAAAGGCTCATTTCATTTCTCCGAAAGCGTGAATCATATGAACGTTTTAAATAAGTTCATGGTCTCATTTGATGCAACCTTGTTCACAGTGATCCCAATCAATGAAACCATTGAAATCATTTGTCAACATTCTGATCTGCTTCCACTACCAGAGTCAGAATTCAAACGCCTACTGCTAATGTGTACCATGGATGTACAATTCCAGATTGATAACACTCTTTACGGACAAATAGATGGTGTAGCCATGGGCAGTCCACTTAGCCCTGTTCTAGCAGATATCTTCATGTCAAACCTTGAGAAAACAAAGTTGAAGCATGCAATCGATCAAACAACTTCCTATTGTCGATATGTCGATGACACATTTGTAGTATGCAACAACGAAAGTCATGCCTCCTACCTACTCAGCCTATTCAACAAAGCACATACAAATATTGTATTTACCATGGAACATGAAAATGACAGGAAGTTCCATTTCCTTGACATCGCCATGCAACGCCTAGAAGATGGTAATCTCCAGAGGTCAATTTACCGAAAGCCTACATGGAATGGACAATACTTACATTTTAATAGTTTTTGTCCAAATAGCTATAAACGAGCACTAGTCAAGACTCTGTACTATAGAGCAAGGAGAATATGCTCTACAGAGAAACTAGAGGAAGAATTTATGTTTCTCGAAAAGGTGCTGAAAAATAACGGTTACCCTCAAAGATTCATAAACAAATATGGAAGATGTGAAGACTCAAATACCAAACAAATCACAGTTGAAAAAAAGCCTGTCTTCATTCAACTAGATTTTAAAGGTGAAAACATTGCAGAAATGGTCAACAGAAGACTGAGAACATCACTAGCCAGAGCCTATCCTGCAGCTAAGTTGGTTCCCGTCCATCGAACAACATGCTCTTTGGTGCAGTCAAAAGTCGATAGATACCCTTCTCATGTTAACTCCAACTGTGTATACAAATTTACGTGTATCTG